ATGAAAACAGCATCAAGTTATATCACACAAAGGTACAAATTCTCTATGATGCATGTGATCATTATATACCAATAAAATCTGAAAAATAAAGAACAAAACAAACAAAAAATAAAGCGAAAAGAAAATGAAAGGAGAGGATTACCACATGGGATGGTAGGTGTTAGGACAATATTAATTACAAGGTACATTGGGAACACACAGGTGAGGTCAAAATAGGCATTCAGAAAGAGAACTGCTTAAGGGGAAACCCGAGGGATGGCAAGAACAACTCGGAGGAAATGGTCTCTTAGCTTGCCTTTGAACTACAGCAAAGTAAAATACTGTCCTCTTTAAGGGGAAGTTTTTATGGAAGTTCCAGTGAGAAAAAGGAAAAGTATACTAAATAGTAGTTGACTAAGTAGTGTCCCTTTTCAATATATATATATATATTTTTTGAGACAGTATCTTTCTATGTAGCACAGACTGGCCTCAAACTCATCATGATCCTTCTGCCTCAGCCTCCTGAGTGCTGGGATTACAAGCATGCACCACTGCAGCTGGTTTAATACGTCGTAATTAAACCAGCTTGATATTTCCTGTATTCTATTCTTAATGAACATAAAACAAATTTCACAGGAGAATAAAAACTTGTAAGGCTTTTTTTTTCTATTTATTTTCTATATTTATTTAGAGGAGATTGGGATTGAACCTAGGATCTTGTGCAAATCACTTTATTTGATTTTTTGGTTTTTTGGGTTTTTTTGCAAATCACTTTACCATTGAGCTGTCCTCAAAATTTTGATCCTCCTGTATCAACTTTTCAAGTAGCTGGGATTATAGGCATGTTGCCACTATGCTTACCTTAATTTCCTATCACATCTTAAAGTTTTTCACTGCCTTTGGTGTCTCTTACTCTGGAAGTTTTCAGACACAGAACCACTAAGCTAGAAACTCTTAACACAGCATGACAAAATGGAAATCTTAATGAAACACAACAGGATTACCAGCTAAAAATAAAGGACGATAGGCACCAGATTCCCAAAAGAAGTGCTAACCCAAGATTTATTGGATAACTGACCTTTGAATTTTGAGGGTATATAGTGGCCAAGGAAAAGAGAATGCCAGCCCTTTATATTTCTTGTATTTGAGACAGTGTCTTGCTAAATTGCCCAGGCTATACTTGAACTCAAAATCCTCTGATCTCAGTCTCCCAAGAATGCTGAGATTACAGTCATGTATCACCACATCTAGCTGATTTTTGTGTACTGACTGAATACTCTGTATATCATAGATTTTAAATGTTTTATTTCATAGTATCTGCCAGATGAACACATTTGTAAGTTAATACTACTACGTCTTATTTCAGGACATGGATTTCACAAAATAAAGCATACACATTAATTTTCTAAATTCTTAGTTTAAGCCAGCCATGGTGGCACTCACTTAGTGCTAGGGCACTTGGGTGGCTGAGGCAAGAGGATTGTCATGAGTTTGAGGCCAGCTTGGGCTATATAGCAAGTTAAGGGATAGCCTGAACTACATAGTGAGACCCTGTCTCAAAACAAAACAAAACAAAACAAACAAAAAACAAACAAAAACAAATTCAAATACAGTGAAAATGGCCATACTTACAAAACTGTTATATAGAGTTAATGCAATTCTGATCAGAATTCCAATACCATATCTCATAGAATGAGAGAAAACAATTGTACAAATCATTTGAAACCAGAAGAGACCTGGAAAAGCAAAGGCAATTCTGGACAGCAAAGGCAAGGCAGGAGGTATCATGATCTCTGACTTGAAATTATACTATAAAGCTACTGTAATTTTTTTTAAAGCATAGTAATGGCCAAAAAAAGAGACCCAATGGTCAATGGAACAGATTATAAAAATGTATAAATGACTCCAGAAATACTCATCCACCTTATCTTTGATAATGATGCTCAACATTCACTGGAAGAAAGATAGCCTCTTTAATAAATGGGGCTGAAAAAACTGGCTCTGCATTTGCCAAAGATTAAAATTGGGCCCATATCTTTCACCATGCACTAAACTAAATTCAAAATGGATCAGATATCTAAACATTAAAACAGAAACATAAAATCTGCTGGAAGATAGACTAGGCAAAACTTTTGAAGACATTGGTGTAGTCAAAGACTTTATGAATAAAATCCTGATCACACAGGAACTAACACAAAGAATCATCAACTGGGATCTCATTTTATTAAAAAGCTTTTCTTCAGCAAGGTAAACCACCAACAGAGTGAAGAGTCAACCCACAATGTGGGAAAAACTTTTGCCAGCTGCTCTTCCGACAAAGAGCATCTGAGCTAAATACATACTTCTCAGATGAAGAAATACAAACAGCAAATAAATATAAGAAAAGATGTTCAACATCACTGGTCATTCAAGAGACCCAAATTAAAGCAACACTGAGATTCTACCTCATTCAGAAAGAATGCCCATTATCAAGAAATCAACCAATAACAGATGCTGGAGGGGTTATGGGGAAAAACAAACACTTCTCCACTGTTGGTGGGAGTGTAGACTGGTGTAACCACTGTGGAAATCAGTGTGGAGATTCCTCCAAAAATTAGGATTGAAGGTGCCATTTAACCCAGCTATTCCCTTGCTATGTATCTTTCCAGAAGAAGTGAAAACATCAAACCACAGAGATATATGCATACCCATGTTTATAGCAGCACAATTTTTCTTTTAAATGAGGAACTGAGGATTGAACTCAGGCCCTTCAGCTTGCCAGATAAACGCTTATTCTACTTAGCTATCTCCCTGGACCCTTTTATGCTAAAAGCAGCATAATTTGTAATAAGTTAGTTTTGGGGTTTGTTTGTTTGTTTGTTTGTTTGTTTTGATGGAACTGGGCATTGAACTCAGGCCCTTATGCTTGCCAGGGAAGCACTTATTCCACTAAGCCATCTCACCAGTCCCAGTACTAGCTAGATCTTAGAAACAGCCCAAATGCCCATCAACTGAGGAATGGTTAAAAAAAGATATGGTCTTCTTATACAATACCATACTATTCAGCCATAAAGAAGGAAAAACTGGAGACTTTTATAGGTAAGTGGATGCAAATTGAGACCATACTCATAAGTGAAATAAACCAGATGCACGTGTGCAGACTTCACAGACATCGTATAGTCTCACTAGTGTGAGAAACTGAAAGAGTAAATAAGATCCAGAATGTACAATAGATATTGTGAAATAGAAAGAAACTATTCAAAAGGAAAGATAAACTGGGATGGAGGAAAGGAGAGAAGGAAGGAAGGGATATTACTAATTTCTCTTAGTTCATTGAAAAGTAAGGTTTGTGCTTACATTGTTTGGACAATGAAATCCTTATATCTTGCTTCTATTTTTTTTTTTTTTTTTTGTACCAGGGGTCAAACTCAGGATCTTGTATTTGCCACTTGCTAGGCAGGTGCTTATGCACCTGAGCTATCTCCCCACCTCTAAATGCCTACATCTTGGACTCTGAGTAACTAATTTAAAGGTAATATACGGGGCTGGTGAGATGGCTCAGTGGTCTAAAGCACCTACTTGGAACAAGCTTGGCAAAGCCCAGGGACCACGGTTCAATCCCCCAGCACCACATGCCAGCCAGCCCGCCCCCTGGTGGGCTGAGCTGGCCACACACACACAAATAAATAAATTTTAAAAAAATAATAAAATAAATAAATAAATAAATACAGAAGAGGTGTAATTTGTAAAAAAAAAAAAAAAAAAGGTAATATACAATGTATTAACCATTGTTATCCTCCTATTAACTTATTTTGAATTATTTTTTCTCTTTGAAACAAATACATTCAGGGACAGTGAGATAGCTCAGTGGACTAAGCGCCTGCTTAGGCAAGCTCAGGGACCAGGGTTCGATCCCTAGTACCAGATGCTGCGCTAGCCCCCAACCCTGGGCACACTGAGCTGGCCACCAAGACAGGGTGTTATGGTTTGTGTCTAGGTGTCCCCCCAAAGCCTCATGCAGTCTTGGGGCACCTTCTGGAGTTTGTGATTGATTACTGTGGGTGTGGATGCTGCACTTGCCCTGGGGCGGGTAATTTGCATTACAATGTAAGGAGGGAAGAGAAGCCAGCTGCTTGAGCTGCTGCTACCCCTCCTTTTGTGCTTTTGCTCTGCCCTGGCCACGAAAGGTTGCCCTCTGCTGTATACTGCTCTGCCGTGGAGCCAGCTGAGTGCGGACTGAAACCTCCAGTGACTGTGAGCTAAATAAACATTTCCTTCCTTCATTTTGAGTGTCGGGTATTTGTCCCAGCAACGAGAGAAGAGTAAGACACAGGGCATGGTGGCTCACACCTGTAATCCCTGCTTTGGGGAAGCTGAAAACAAGAGGATTATTAAGAGTCCAAGCTATGTAGCAAGACCCTGCACCAAATACATAAAAAAAAAATTAAATTCTTAGTTTAGGATATTAGTTCTCTTCCAGAAAAATGTAATGCGAACTCCAAAGCTCTTTACTTTCACTGGATTAATTTCCAGTAGTTAAAGTGATAATCTAACTCAACAGAATCTGGAAATGTGGAACCATAATGACCATTTCATCTATTTTCTCGGTCTCGTCAGTGTATTTTGGAATAAAAGCACTTGATTTACTTCAAATTGTGTTTAGTTTTTATGTTTCGTCATAGTTTCACTATGTTGCCCAACTGGGTCTGAAACTTGGGAGCTCAGGTAATCCTCGGTGGTCAGCCTCCCAAGGAGATGATTCCAGGTATGGCAAGCACACCTGGGTAATTTACTGAGCAGACCAATCCAGTGTTAGATTAAATTCATGGTATTATAATTACTATATAATGGTCTATATTATTCAGTAGTGACATCTATAGGCCTATAATGAAAAACTCCATTTATCTATGTTTTGTAACTTAATCTAACCTCATGCCACACACTACTTTTGGTAACAGGTTTGAAAGAGAAAGTCAGATTAGGAGACAAAAGCTGTATGAAGAAAGGCCCACCAACCAGAATGCGCCCAGTCTTTTACTTACTGTGATTGAATGGATGCAAGCGATTTTCTAAAAGTAGACTGAATATCTAACTGGAGCAATCTAGGAATATCTGGGTACCCACCCATCTGGGCCCAGAGTGATGTTACTGACGTTTTCTTTGTTATTGGATAGCTTGAGGTGGACAGATCAGCATTCCAAATGGCCTGCCTCACAGCTTCTTTTTGTCTAGAGAATTAGAAAACAATTAGTGGAAGTGTCAAATTCTCATGAGCTCCATAGCCAATAAAAATGAGCCTTATTCTTCCCTCTTCTCTTTACCATCACCTTGTCCTATAATGCCCTCCCTTTGCTATGTCTACTTTGACAGAGAAATGAATGAAAGGCTGCAATAGTTCACAAGGCTTTATTTTCATAACATATCTAGTAACGTTAATATATTTTGTGCAGGGTCTCACTGTACAACAGACTCATAGTGATCCTCCTCAGTGCTGGGATTACAGGTGTGGCCACCACGCCGTGTCTCAGTCACCAATTCAGCGCTCTGAGGGGTGGGGCTAGCACAGCATCTGGTGCCAAGGATCAAACACCAGTCCCTGCATTTGCTTAAGCATGAGCCTAGTCCACTGAGCTATCTCACCAGCCCACCTAGTAACATTTTAAAACAACCTTCTCAACTTCATCAAATATGTAGACCATCTTACCCCATCCTTCCCAAAACTTCTCCCTTCTTAAAAAGAAGAAAGAGAAACGAAGGGGTTGGCTAAATAGCTCAGCGGACTAAAGCACCTACAAGCAGGCTCAGGGTCCAGTGGTTTGATCCCCTGGCTTGCCATGTTGGCCCTGCCCCTGGGGCCCACTGAGAAGACAATTGAGACTGGGTGTGGTGGCATGTGCCAATCCCAGCTCTTGGAAGGCTGAAAACAGGAGAATCACTATGAGTCCGATCTAGTAGTGAGACCCTGAACACCCTGTAGACCCTTCCCTAAAATACAAAAAAAAAAAAAAAAAGAGAGAGAGAGAGAGAAAGGAAGGAATAAAGGAGGCAAAAGGGATAGGGAGGGACGAAGAGAGGAGAGGGGTTAATGGTTCTCAGTGTCTTTTTTAGATATTCTTAAAATAATTGGTTTCTTAGAAGGAATTATCTTTATACTTTAAAGGAATTCAAAATCAAACGTTAAATATTTAAACAAAAGTAGAAACAAATAAATGTCTTGATAAATTAGCTAAGGAAATTAATATGCCCGCAGACTCTTATATGTATCATAACTGGGTTATGAGTAAGGGGAAGCTCTTGGTCAGAACTACCAACAAATAAAAAACATTGCATGGGGCTGGGGAGATAGCTCAGTAGAATAAGCACTTGCCTGGCAAGCGCAAGGTCCTGAGTTCAATCCCCAGTACCGCAAAAAAAAAAAAAAAGCATTGCATGTAGTGATTCTACATATCATACTACAAAGTCTTATGCCAGTCTTTCTATCACATACCTAAATTTATGGAAAATGTCAGATGTTTTGTCTTCTTCAATCAGTAACTCTAGGAATGGCTGTGGAGCAGACTTGGTAGAGGCAGGTGTCTGCTTTTTGGCAACTTTCAAGGGGATAGGTTGACTAAGATTCAATTTATACATCTTTTGGAACTACAAATAAGAGAGAAAAAGGAATCACTACATCATTTCACAGTCTTTTGACTAAGCCCAGATAGAACAAAGGAATCCTGAAAACACAGGGCCACAGTTTTTAGGAAGGTCTTCTGAACTAAGACTAAACAGCAAATTCTTTTCTAGAGATTTAGACATCTTCTTCCTTTACTCCACTTCTAACAAATGCATAATTTCAGACTTAGTAGTTATGATATATAAAAACTTTGGTCTTAACCAGGCGTGGTGGTACATGTCTGTAATCCCAGCACTCAGGAGGTTGAGCCAGGAGGATCTTTTCCAGTTCAGGACCAGCCTGGGGGCTACAAAAGTGAGCATGAGGCCAGACCAAACTGCATAGTGAGACCCTGTCTCAAAAAACGAACAAACAAACAAACAAACTTTGGTCTTGAACTGGGCATGATGGTGCACACCTGTAATCCCAACACTTAGGAGGCTTGGGCAGGGGGATCACTCAGAGTTTGAGGCCAGCCTGGACTACAAAATGAGTTCAAGGCCAGCCTGAAATGCATAGCAATATCCTGTCTCAAAAAAAAAAAAAATCTGGGGATATAGCTCAGCAGCATAAGTGACCACTTGGCAGACAAAAGGTTCTGAGTTTGATCACTGGTACTAAAAAGCAAAAAGATAAAAAAAGAAAGAAAAACCCTTCATCCTATTTAGGCTCCACTCTTATTCATCTAATTTCCTAGCTATGAGACTTTGGGTTATTTGATTAATTTATCCTCACCCCATTTTCCTCATTTCCTTGTTGGTTTGTTTGTTTGAGTGAGGGTCTCACTATGTAGTTCAGACTGGCCTTGAACTCACTATGTAGTGCAGGCTGGCCTTAAACTCATAGCAATCTTCCTACCTTAGCTTCCCAAATCCTGGAACTACAGGTATATATCACTATCCCTGGCTTTTTCCTCATCTCCAAAACAAGCATAATGTCAGGTGTTATAAGCAGACTTGTAAATCCAGCACTCTGGAAGACTGAAGCAGGAGGATCACAAGTTTGAGCCCAGTCTTAGAAATTTAGCAATTTAATTTGTCTCAAATTTTAAAAATTTATTAATTAATTACAAATTTAAAAGGGCTGGGGATATATCTTAGTATGAATGCCCTGGGTTCAATCACCAGTACCACAAAAAAATATTTTTAAAGAATAACCAGGCATAGTGGTACACGCCAGTAATCCCAGTGCTGGGGAGACTGAGACAGGAGGATCACTATGAGTCTGAGCTGCAGAGTAAGACCCTGTGCCAAATACATATACACATAAAGGTTTACAGAAGAACATAGGATTGTTATGAGAATTGTACATTATATAGAGAGGGCCTTTGTCAGGTACGAAGCTCTGTGCAAAGACAACAAAAGGTGACACTTACTGAATGGCAGTCACTCCATCTCAGCTGCTTTCCATGATCAGCTAACTTGGTATTTATAACATACTCATGAGGCAAGTACTATTATTAGCTTTTTCCTGCTTATGGAGAATCTGAATCTCAGAAAATTTGAGTGTTGTGACTCAGAAAACTCGAGTGGTCCAAGGTCACTCAGCCATATTTGGCAAAGCTGAACTGGACTAGGGATCTAGTAGGAGAGCTAATCTTGCGAACCACCACCCTGATTCAATTTAAGACATTTATTCGTATCCACTTTAATCCCTTTAACTTTTCCTCTCCCTTCTTTATGCCTTGATACCCATAATTCTGTCATCTGGTTTCTGACTTTCCTGACCCCATGTCCACATTCATCTTCGGTAACGTCCTAGGCTTTGTCATTCCTGTGTGATAGCTCCTGTTACTGCCAACCCATCTTGCTTTACTCCATCTACATGGGCCCTTGCTATGGTTTATGTCTAGTTGGCTCCCCAAAGCCTAATAGAATGCCTGGGATGTCTTCTAGAGTTTGAGATTAATTCTCGATCCAAGGCTGGGCTTATGGGTGTGAGTGCTACACCCGCCCTGGGGCTAATGCCTGAATACAGTCTGGGGAAGGGAGAGAGGCTAGCTGGCTGCTGTAGGCACTGCTCCTCCCTTTGGGCTCTTACTATTTGCTGTTTTCCCCTGCCATGAACAGCCTTGGAATCTTGGAGCCAGCCAAGTATGGACTGAAATCTCCACAAATTATGAGCTAAATAAACCTTTCCTTCCTGAATTTTGGGTGTTGGGTATTTTGTCCCAGCAATGAAAGAAAAGTAACTGAGACAGCCTGGTTTGCCAAATCAAAACCAAGCATACTAATTTTTTTTTTGGACAAGCAGTCATAATATTTAAAATGTGACAGCTCTGGAAAATTTAGAATATTTGGTTTGGATTAGGCTATGATAAGTCTCTTTGTACTTCCCAAAGCAGCAACTAAGTAAAACTTACAATCAATGTTAATGAAGCAAAGGCTATATAGATATAAAAATGTTCCTAGATCTCTAGCTTGTGGTATTCATTATTAGTACTCTAATTTGTGCTAGGAGATTCCAAACATATAATCCCACAGAAATTATATAACCTTTTTGAAAATCCCTATTACACCCAAAGATGTATGGATACCTCTGAGAAATTCCTGAGATATGAGTGGACACTAGGGTATAACAGGATCTTCTGTTCTTGGTGCTATGTCACCAAGTTAAACAAATTCTTTTTTGCCTTTGTTGTAAATTCATAATTAAAAAAAAATTCTTTCATTCATTTATTTATATGTTTTTGAGATAGTTTCGTGAGGCAGTTCAGGCTGGCCTTGAACTCACTTTGTAGCCCAGGCTGGCCTCAAACTCACAGTGATCCTCCTGGGTCAGCTTCCTAAGTGTTGGGATTACAGGTGTGTGCAGGCCTAAATTCATGATTTAAAACTAACTTCCTGGTAGTTCTAAGGTCAGAAATAACCCCCCAGAATCAGAAAGCAGAGGCTTCAAGTCATCTATAAGCTGGAAGCAATTAAGCATTTCTGGAAGTCTCCTATTCTCATTCTTTTCTCATCTAGAGATCCAGAAAACGTAACTGTTGTCAATTTAGAAGTTTCGCTAAAGTCATGGCATAATGAACTGAATGGTGTCCCCGAAAGTATATGTCCACCCAAACCTGTGAATGTGTCCTTATTTGGAAAAAGGGACTTTGTCAATGAGAGTGAGTTAAGGATCTGAAAATTTTGTTGTCCTTACAAAATCTTGGAGAGGCTTTTTCTCGGCTGCTCAGTATTTTGCTACCTTCCCAGAAGTCCTCTGTTTTTTAAAAAGTATAATCCAAAAATACCTGAATACAGATTAAGCATCAGCCAGCCATATGTGAAAATATAAAATGGATTTGAGGTAGAAGGGTGTGAGAGAGAGAGAGAGAGAGAGAGAGAGAGACAAACAGACAGACAGAGACAGAGACAGAGACAGAGACAGAGACAGAGGTAGTAGAGAATGAAAAATAAATTTTAGTTATTAATAGGCCTCTCTCATAGGTGGCATAGTTGGATAGGTGCCCCAGGGACCCATGCTTTACAGAGAGTCATGGGATCCCTTGCTAAATTAGTTTTGTCTCAGGAAATAAAATTTACTTCCCTCTTTTAAAAAACTTAATTAAGTTCATTATGGATTGAAATTTTCAATTAAGTGAGAAGGCCGGGGATACAAAACAAATAAACAAAAAGGAGAAAGGGAGGGGACAACCCGCTCAGGCATCCCTTCTGTTCCTCTCTTGGACAAGAAATTATTTTCCCCCAATAAATATATTCTGCTCATAACCTCAAAAAAAAGAGAGAGAGAGAGAGAGAGAGAGAGAAAGAGAGAGAGAGAAAGGACTTGTCAAAGGTTGTGAACCTGTGGCACAGGTGCTGCAGCCAGCTATTTGTTATCATTGAACACTCTAAAGGTTGGCTATCCTAGGCTAGGTGGTACAGCATTCACTTGTTTGTGTAGGTAGGGAAGGAAAAAAATTCAAGTTTTCTTATAAGTGGTAATGGATCTGGTAAGAAAAGTCACATTAACATGAAAAAATAAGTTTATTAACTTTCATATATACATGGAAAAAGTCAGGGAATGTGTAGTTCTTAGAGAGGTGGCTTTGTCTTCCTCTGATAGTGTCTTCAACAAAGAATAGCTTATTTTTAAATTACTGACAAGACAAAAAGGATGTTGAGTATCTAGAGGTAGGAACTTGTGGGAAGGAAAAATGGTAGATAGAAGCTAGTTAGTAAAGCTTGTCGAGGTAGATCTCAGGTGCAGGCTGCAGGCTTAAAGTTTGTCTGTCTGTCTGTCTGTCTGTCTGTCTGTCTGTCTATCTGTCTCCCTCCTTCTTAGCTACCTACCTTTTTTTTGAAACAGGCTCACCATGTAGTTCAGGCTGGCCTTGAGCTCACTGTGTAGTCTGGGCTGGCTTTGAACTTGTGGCAATCCTCTTGCCTCAACCTCCCAAGTGCTAGGATTATAGGTGTGCACCACAACACCTGCTGTTCTTTCTAATAGAAAGTAGGGCAGGATATCTTTTGTATTTGTAAATTTGTGTCCTGCTTTAGGCAAAAAAAAGGAAGATAGAGAAAAAATTTTATTGTCCTGAATTAATCAAATGAGTCCTAAATCCAGTGATATTGGCCTTAAAAATCAGAAGAGATGGAGAGAGTCCTCTCCTAAAATCTGAGCATGCTGGGAGGCCTAGGCAAGGTTCAAAAATTTGAGCCCAATCTGAACAGCTCAGTAATTTTTAGGGAGACCCTGTCTCAATATAAATAAAAAGAGGATACAAAACACACAGGGAAGAAGGCCAGTTGAAGAAGGCAGAGATTGGAGTATTATGGCTACAAACTAAGGAACACCAATAATTGTTGACAGCTGTATAATCCATGAGAGAGGCTTGAAACAGGTTTCTCAAAGCTTCCAGAAAGAACCAATCCTGAAACACTTTGATGACATCAACTCTGGCTTCTACAACTATGAGAACATAAATTTCTGAGGGATTTTTCTTTTGTTTATGAAACTGTATTTTTTTATTTTTCCCTTTTTACTAGTGAATATTTCTGATATATAATAAATGATTCATTGTGGGGAATTGGTATGTATACATATCCCATCTCAATCCTTTTTACATCCCCTTCCTCTGTCCTTCATCCCATCTCTTTCCATCCCTTGATATCCCTTCCCTTTTCCATTAATGTTAAATTGAATTTGTAGTAATGTATTCAGAAGCCCTAGGGGACACACACACACACACACACACAGATAGATATAGATATATAT